ATTGGTTGGATGGGATCTTACAGCTCATCCAGTTCCAGCCCCCCTGCCATGGGCAGGGACATCTTCCACTAGCCCAGGTTACTCCGAGGCTGGTCCATCCTGGCCTGGGACTCTTCCAGGGATGAGGCAGCCACGCCTTCCCAGCAAAATCCATTCCAGGGTCTAGCAATTTCTTCCCAATATCCCATCTAACCCTGTTGTTTGTCAGTGGCAAGCCATTCCCTCTTGTCACCCCATCCCCTTGTGGATAGGCTCTCTCCATGTTTCTTGGGAACGTTTTATCCTGACAGGAAAGCACTGATTCTCCATGCTGGCCATTGAAAGCAGCACGCCAGGTCCTGTCCATGAGGTAGACCATAGTCCTGTGCTGGGTAGTTTTCCGGAGGGAAAAGATGTCGGGAGAGCCCCAGGCGTGGCTGAGGGGAATTTTTATTGCTCCTTGAGGGGGAGGCAGGTCGGAGCCAGGCTGTGCTCCCAGGGAACAAGGCGTGGGACAAGAGGAAATGGCCCGAACTTGTGCCACGGGAAGTTCAGATTGGACACCAGAAGGAATTTCTTCATGGAACGGGTGATGAGACACAGAAAGGGGCTGCCCAAGGAGGACTGCTGAGCCTGGCGCACGCCACGGTCCTTAGAGCCTGCTCCAGGTGGGAAATCACACAGTGATGCACAAAGGTGGGATACAGAACCTCGGGGCATGAAAGCAGCAAAACCCTGGGGAGTGGTTTTAAAGGAAAGGAGTATTAAAGGAATGGAGTCCCCATCCCCGGGGGTGTTTAAGCAATGACTGGATGTGGCACTCAGTGCTCTGGGCTGGGTGACAAGCTGGGGACTGTCACAGGTTGGACTCGGTGGCCCTGGAGGTCTTTTCCAAGAGAACTGGCTCTTGCGGAACCCTTCCGCGGTAATATCGGTAGCGCAGGTGCCCGTCAGCGCAGCAGAAGCCCCTGCCCGCAGCAGGCGGGGCCCGCCCGCATCCCGGCGAGAATTCCCGGCGAGAATTCCCCGCTGGAATCCGCGGCCGGCACCGCCCCGCCCCGCGGCGCTACCGCCGGCCGCCACCAGGCGGCGCCGCCGCGCCCCGCACCCCTCGTTGCCGTGGCGACCGCAGGTTGCGTAGCGGCCCTTACGCAGTTGACGCAGTGGGCGGCCCCGGCGAGGCGGGGGCGGCCCCGGCAGGGCGGAGGCGGCGTTGGAGAATCGGGGGCCGCAGGGCCCCCGGCATGGAGGAGGCGGCGGCGGCCGCGGCGCTCCCGGGGCGGCGGCGGCGGGAGCGAGGTGAGGGACGGCGATGGGGATGGCGCGGCGGCGGGGGCCGGCGCTGCGGCAGGTGCGGGGGAGCCGGGAGGGCGCTGGCAGGGCCGGGGGAGCGCCCGCCGCCGCCCCCCGCCCCGCTGGGCTGCAGGCCCGCGGCGCCCGGGGGGTCTGGATCCCGCGGGAAGCGCGGCATTCCCGGCGGGAGGGCCCCGCTGCCTGTGGCCTGCGCCCCGGGGGAAGCGGGGGGCTTCCACCTGTGCCTCTGGAAAGCCGCCATCCTGGCCGGGCAGGTGCGAGGCGGGAAGGTGATCCCGCCGTTCGGGATTCGGGATGCTGCGGTGGGAGGCGGGAGCGGTGCTGCTGGGTGTCCAGGGAGAAGAAGCTGCGGTGTGGGTGTGACACAGGGATTCTCGCTCCCAGCTTTTATTACTTCCCGCAGGGAACGGTACCTGACTTGAGCAACGCGGGCGGATGCTAAGCCGTGGCCGTAAAATCCCCAAATTTAGGATCGCGGGCAGCTGCAGAAGTGAGATATCCTTATAAAAGTAAGGGAGATGTTGCTCCGAGATCTTGGAGCTGGGATGCTGCCAGGCTGCTCAGCCAGAATTCCCGCTGTGCCCAATTCTGGGAATTAGTACCTGCTGGTGGATTTGGGACAGGCTTCAGTTGGCACTGGGAATATGGGAATGGGGATTGCCGAGCCTGGTGCACACCACGGTCCTTAGAGCCTGCTCCAGGTGGGAAATCACACTATGATTCACAAAGGTGGGATACAGAACCCCGGGACATGAAAGCAGCAAAACCCTGGGGAGTGGTTGTAAAGGAAAGGAGTACTCCAAGGTGGGAACATTCATCTCCCCCCTGGATGAAGCTTAGTGGGGATGAGTTGCTGCATCCTCCTGGCTGGACAGGGAGAAGCATCCGAGTTTTTGTGGTCAGGTTGAGTGTTCTTAAATGGGAGATAATGAAATTGTGGGAAGCGGCTCTTGGAAAGCTTCGGACTCTCCGTGATTCTGGCATTGGCTTGGCTGAAATGTGTATCCTGTGGACACTGCTGGAAGAAGCTTTCCAAGTTGGAAACCTGAGCTGGGGCAAGGTGTTTGTTGTGCCAGGTGTTGGTTTTCAGGGTCATAAAAGTTGCACGGGGGTCTTAAAGCTGCTGGGGAAATTCCAGCAGTGCCAGCTTGGACTGGGAATGGCTGAGGTGGTCGGGAATGCCCAAGAGGGACAAGACACTTGGAAAAGCAACTGTTATGTGAGAAATTATACAAATAACTTGGAATTTCTGCAGCCAAAACCCTTTAGCAAGGAGCAGGATAAAATTCCCCCTTTAAATGGGAATTTAAACTGGAAGTTTTGGAGTGGGCAGCTCTGCTTTCCAAAATTTTACTCCGAGGGTCAAAATCAGGGATTTAAGGGTATGGACTATGTACTGCAGCTACTGACTTTGTCAGTGCTGACCTAAAAAAATCCTGATTTGACCTGAATTCCCATTTAGATTAAAGCACTGGGCACTTTTTGCCTGCTACCTACACAGCCAGATCTGAACGCCGGAGACAGGGAATGTGTAAATCCCTCTGTGGTTGCTGGGAAAAGGGTGGTGAGAAAGGGAAACTTCTCTGGACTGTGTCCACCCCTTCCCTTTCCAGAGGGCTGGGAAGGAGCAGTTGTGCAATGATGGGATTTAAGGGAAGTGCTGTGCCAGGAGGAAAAGTGGGAAGGGTGAAAATGATCTTCCCAATGACCAAAAGTGTGAGGAATAAAAAAAAAAAAAACAAACAACCTACATTTTGGAAACTTTGTTAAAATTCCCTGGACAAACAATTACGGCAACCAAAAAAAAACCCTCTGCTTGGGGGTTTTTTATGGACTTTGGGAATCTCAGTCCTGTTCCTTGTGCTCTCCCTCCCCTTGGAAGTTAATTAATTGAGAGCTGGCTGCTCCAAATGAGGTCACTTGGATTTCGGAGCTGCCGTATCATTGTATGGATTTGCAAAATCAGGATTTATGGCTTGTGTGCCTTCAAAATTTTTCCTTAAAGTGGCATAATCCTGGTTTTTGGTGGGGGGGTCTTTTCCAGGCAACTGGAAGGATGTAGGGAGGAGAAGTGTTCAAATTGTAGGGTGTAAAACTCAGGAAGCTGCTCAGCTTTGGATGGAGAAGAGTTTGGAAAAGCTTCCAGTCATTCCCAGGCCTGGCTGTCATTTACAAAACTTCCTTGGACTAAACCAGCAGGAATTCTCTTCTGTGCCAAACATCTCTGTCCTGTCCAAAGGCTTTTTTTGGGGGGGAAGGGAACTAAGTCTTTATACCTCCCCTAGACCATGCAACTTTATTGTGGGGAGCCTGCACCCTGCTTTTCCTCCTCTCCCATTCCATCTTTCCCAAATAAATGACCCTTGGTTCCACCTCTGCTCCTGACAGTGATCCAGCTGATGAATAAGAACGTCCCAAGCTGGATTGAGCCCTGGAGTTTGAGGAATTTCCAGTTAAAGATGCAGCAGTTGAGATGGGGTGAGTGAAACTATTTTAATCTGCTCTTGGAGCTGCAGGGCTGGAGTTTTTCGGGAGCTGGGAGCAGATGAAAGTGGCCTTTGTGCCATGGGGAGTGTGACAAATGGACTTTTGTGGGATCTGCAAAGAGCGCCGGGATGTTTATTCCTGCTGGGATAGATGGGAGTCAATCAGGCTCTTCATTCCAGGCCAGTTGGAGCTGATATTTTTGTATTTCATACATGATACTGTTCATTTAGGTTCATTTCTATAGCTTATTATGTGGCTTTTTAAAGAGAAATAAGAGAAAAATCCTTGAAAATTTGCCAGGTGCAGCACCTGCCCAGCTTGGAACTTTGAAAGTAGAAGAAATTAGAATGGTCTTCCAGGTTTTGATAAAAAGTGGGAAAGTTTGCCCTGCTGAGGAATATCCTGCCCTGAAATATGGGCAAAAATGCTGCTGGACCCTAGAAGGGATTTTGGATAGAGGAAATAATTCCCACAGAGTTTCAGGAAAAATGTGCCCTGTCCCTTCAGGCATTTCTTCTTCTTCCTTTTCTTTCCTTTCTCCCTTCCTTCTAGTAGAAGGCACATGGATCCCTTACCTCTGGATCTCTTTGGAAAGATGAAATAAAAAAGCTTTGGATTATTTTCCTCTTCCTTGTAGCAGGAGCTGGAAATCTGCATGGCAGGCAGAGACTGTCAGGGATTCTGCTCTGGGCTCTTAATCCAGGAGTTCCTTCTTTAACTCAAATCCTTCCTTAACTGCCCTTGTGCTCCAGCAGATCCCTGAAAATCCTCATTCTGCCCCATCCGTTGGCATTCCTCCCTCTCTTTGAGGAGCCTTCTGAGCTCCTCTTCAAAGATCTGTGGAATTGCATGAAAATTGCT